TTTGGTTGGTTAAATCCATCACATCTAGGTAAATAATATTTCACTAACCTGACAAGTTAGGATTCTTCTTGGGATATTTGATCCAACCAAATACAGCTGTGGGTCAAAAGCTACTCTCGCTGCTATACATGTGACTATATTTTACAGTTAGTTATGACTCTTAACAGTTATAAATGGGTTTATCACTCCTATAATTAATACCTTAAGTAAGAGTTGTACTTTCATCTGGTTGGTGGCTTCAACCCCTCTGAAAAATATGAACGTCAGTTGGGATGATGACATTCCCAACATATGGAAAGTCATAAAATTCATGTTCCAAACCACCAATCAGAACAGTGATATAACCTAGCTATTGAACATGGCCACACAAATAGTTGATTTACCCATTAAACATGGTGATGTTCCACCGTTTTTTTGTAACAGTTTACCAGAGGGTAACTGTTGGTTGGGCCACAACTGTAGCCCTATCCCCAGTGCGTTGGTTTCCCAGCTCCGGTGGCGGGCGTCGGATGCTTCTCCTCCAACATGCCCCGGACCTGGCTGAGTTGGGGTATAAAGCTCAACTATAGATATAAATGTATAGAACTAATTGGATATGACCAATAAAATAAATATAGAACGAATTGGATATAACCAATAAAATAAATATAGAACTAATTGGATATAACCATGAACCATAGTTAATATAGAATGAATTAGACTATAAATAATTATATAATATTATATAGAATTAATTAGATATGACCATGAACCATAGTTAATCTATAGCTACAAAGCAACTTCACAAAGTAGAAAATCAGGGGAACCACTTTGTAGAACTGATTCGGGTTTGTCTGAGAATAGGGTACCCTCCCCGAAAAAAATAAGGGTTGATTCTCATGTTCCCCCTTCAAATGGCAAGATTGGCAAGTTGGGTCTACAGTTATGGCCCAACGAACAGGTATTTGTATGGACTTAGAAATCATGATTTATAATTTATAACCAACTAGTTATAGGAGGTTAAACTTCATTCCATTTACCCTCTGGTAATTTGTTACTATTGAAAATGGCCCAGTCGAAATAGTTGATTCTCCCAGTAAAAATATTGCATTTTCAAGAGCTATGTTAAATTACCAGAGGGTATAACTGTTCGTTGGGCCACAACTGGCTCCCATGTCTGGGGAGACTCTGATTGTAGCTCCGGCTCCCCATGGCTGATAGGGAACATGGTGATCCAAAATAGTACAAGCAAAGCTCCGATAGGCTCCCAACCACCACTATTTGTGGTGGAAAATGGTGATTTAAACAACCAAAACGGGGATTTCATGGAATTTATAGCTGATTTATGATAGCTAAGCTGGTGTATAACTAGGCAATTCTATGGTTTGTGGTGGATATATAAAGCTAGTTATATAATGGGTTGAAATTGAACCAACAAACATAACTAGGGGGGCGCGTACTGTAGTTTATACTTGAGATTTCTTTGTAGTCCATCAGTTGAAACAACTTTACCCTGGTGGAACACCCGATGATTGGCAGGAGCTTGCCCGGGAAAGCAGCTCCTGTTACTGCAAAGGTCCAAACAGCAATACCCCAGAAGGCATTGGTGCTGTGAACATCATCATCCAAGGAGAAACAACATAAAGTATCAAAATGCTATCCTCCATGTGCGGAGCATCATTTTGTTAAAAACTATGACCAAACCCATGGTTTGAGATTTTTCAGCACTTCCATGGTACTTGGCAACTTAGTAACTACAAGTAATTATTCAACAACTTTGGTGATCGTAAGTTCCCAACATTCTGGGATTCTCCCATGTTTTTTTGGTGTAATGTGGAAAAGCCAATAACAAACCATCCCCAAAATTAGCATTTTTGGATGGTATAAACCATCCCCAAATGGTAGATTTATGGCACTGGCTTTACCACATTATATACCCTCTGGTAATTTAACATAGCAATGAACATGGCCCATTTATAGTTGATTTACCTATTAAGGATGATGATTTTCCATGGCAAAAACTGTTGGTTTGCCAGAGGGTAGATGGGCTTTGATATGGGTGAGATCTACCAATTATCATAGATATATCATCTGGTTGGTGGTTTCAACACCTCTGAAAAATATGAGTTCGTCAGTTGGGATGATGACATTCCCAATATACGGAAATTCATAAAACAAATCATGTTCCAAACCACCAACCAGTAAACCATAGACCATCAACCATAATGTTAGTTTACCAGAGGGGAACCATAGACCATCAACCATAATGTTAGTTTACCACAATGTTAGTTAGACCATAAACATCCATAAACCATAGACCATCAACCATAGCTTTTCATTGTACCCATCACCACATTCCCAAGGCAGGATGATACTCTCGGCACGCCTTTGAGATATCCTCACTGAAGCCCACCGACTTGGAGGAAAGCAATGGCAACCTGCACAGTGAAGCAACGGAAACCCAAAACGGGAGAATTTGTGCAGTTATGGCCCAACTAACAGTTTTAAATGGACTTGTAACTCCTATAACTAAGGTGATATATGTATATATGTATAGCATGAAATAAGCCCATTTGTAACTGTTAAGGGCCATAACAGTAGGAAACTCCATGTTTTATTCAATTGCATTTGTTATTGGCATATATGAGCTATTATAAGGTCTGTGAATTTATAGTCATTTCCCAAAAGTTTGGGGGTGGTCCTGATTACCCGGGTGCACAAAAATTGGAGTAGTGTGATATCCTCTCCTTTGAATTTAGTCTTTTTTGCTGACTCCGAGGTTATATGAGTTTACCAAATGTTACACCAAAATCCCATGGTGTATGATCATGTGTCTCATCAAAAGTGACATGTTAGGCTCTACTCCTTTTCTGAACCGACCCAGATACATTACAGTGGGAATTTCAGGAACCGATTGATTGGAGGTACCTACCGCCATATATAAGGCCCATGTTTAAGGCCTAAGGGAATATCCCAGCCAAATACGGCCAAACATATGGTACGTTTACATACCTCCATGTATTAGATCCTGGAATTCCCATTGATACAAGCTACAGTTACTTTTGATGGTGGCACATCCTGCAAGAATCCCACACGCAACCTGAAGATGGAATGTATGCAACGAAACATTGATACCCCGCCTCACTGATTCAATGATTAGGCCATTTGGGTACATTTCAAGTATGATAACTTCCATTTGGTTATTTCAAATTCAAACAGGTTTCAGCATGGGCCCCAAAACCACCCAAAACCCTAGTAAATCACACAAAACCAACCTTTCCCATCCTTTCCCAGCATTCCTCCCCCAGCCCCTTTCACATCCCTTCATCCCAAACAGCAAAACCGAAATTATTCCTGGGGTATGTGACCCCTAAACCACACATGGAACATTACCCCCCTTGCAAACAAGGAACCCACCTCACCCAACCAAAACCCTACTAAACCACACAAAGCCAACCATTTCCCATCCTTTCCCAGCATTCCCCCCAGCCCCTTTCACATCCCTTCTTCCCAAACAGCAAAACCGTAATTATTCCTGGGGTATGTGACCCCCAAACTACACATGGAACATTACCCCCCTTGCAAACAAGGAACCCACCTCACCCAACATGGGCCAGCATGGGCCCCAAAACCACCCAAAACCATCCAAAACCCCACTAAACCACACAAAACCAACCCTTTCCAATCCTTTCCCAGCATTCCTCCCCCAGCCCCTTTCACATCCCTTCTTCCCCAACAGCAAAACCGTAATTATTCCTGGGGTATGTGACCCCTAAACTACACATGGAACATTACCCCCCTTGCAAACAAGGAACCCATGTCACCCAACATGGGCCAGCATGGGCCCCAAAAACCATCCAAAACCCTACTAAACCACACCAAACCAAGTTCCCATTCCGTAGATGGCATTGAAGGACCTGGCGTACACCACTTCATCGCGGACTAACATGTAGTGTTCGCGGTTCTTGAGCAAGTTCAAAGTGGTTGACACTGCTTCTTGCAGAGCCTCCCCTTCTACCGCAAAGAAGTACGGAAGCAGCGGGTTGATGAGAGGAGGAGCAGCTATCTTGGCATGCCTCTTGCTGATGCCAAATGCATGCTGCAGGGCAGAGTTGTTGAGCGCCCCGCCCAGTAAGAAACCTAGCTCCATGAGGCCGGTTGCCTCACCAGTAGATCCTCCAGGACGCAACACACATCCTCGTCGAAGCTTGTCTGCTTTATGCAGCAAGTGTGGAACCAAGCTGCGGGCCAGGTCGTCTGAACGGAGGGCCCCACGCGATATCAAGTCCATAGCCGAGCTCTCAGCTGGCAAAAGCTCTCCATTTTCCAAAGCGCTGACATAGGCCGCAACTTTCATTTTCACCTGTACGGTAAATCAGATATAACCCAATGCAACCATATGCAACCCATCACAGCCTATTTCATATTATTTCATCATATTTTACGGGAAACATACGCCAACATCATCCAACATCTTATTAGTTTAAATCAGTTTCATAGTATTTCATAGATTACTTCTGATGAAAAAACTGAAACCTGTTTGAAATGTACCCAAATGAAATGGTTCTGTATGGTTCTGTGTTACCACATATCGACCATCAGTCAACCATTTGTTTATGGCTTAGATCCTCGTCGTTGCAAGGTTTCCATTCCATTACGAGCAGATTCGCCACAAAAAGTGGCGGAATCTGCCCGGGAAAAATCAACTTCAGTAAACAAACCTGGGGCACCACCATGTACAGCAACCCCCAAGAAGTTACATTCGAGTGTTTCCAGGATGTCATAGATGATACTTGGTGGTTCATCCCAGTTAGTAAGTGGGATATAACCCCAGTTATAAATGGGATAAGTATGGTTAATCCACTTATAACTGGGGTTATATCCCACTTACTAACTGGGATGAACCACCAAGTATAATATCATATTTACTTCATATTCCCAGAGTTCCCTCTGTTCTGTCTATTTTGGGGTTACGTAAAAAAAACTGCCATAGATCAACGAATCTTCCCAAAACGCCCATATTAGCGTCCAAGGTGCCCGTCGATGATTTCCAAAGTCTCAGGATCCTGGGTGGGCACAAAAAGATGGGAACCCAGAAAAAACAACCCATCCTGGCTGGAAAATCCCCCATTTGATGGTTAATATATGGTTAATATATGGTTAATAATAATCTGGTTGGTGGTGCAACAACCATGGATAGCAACTAGATGGTGGGGATTAAAATGGGACTATATGGTGATTATATGGAGATTATATAGGATTATATTGAGATATATTGAGATTATATACTGGTTGGTGGTTTTAAATGGGTAAATCAACTATTTCGACCGGGCCATTTTCAATAGCGAACTGTAACAAATTACCAGAGGGTACCTGAGAATGGCAACTAAAACTGGTTGGTGGTTTTAACCATCTTGAAAAATATTAGTCAATGGGAAGGATTATCCCATATATGATGGAACATAAAAAAAAATGTTTGAAACCACCAACCAGTTATAAACATCAATCGCACCAAATCCTGCGCTTTGTCATGGTCAATAGTTTAAGGGAAACTCAGGGCTGTACGGCTATGCGAAATTCCGGGGTTTTCTTCGTTCATCATGTTCATCCCAATCCCATGTGAACATGGGATTGGGATAGAAAATGAGCAGTTTGAAACAGGGATAAGGGCAACCATCATGTCAGCAACTGCATGGAATCACAGAGCGTGAATCAGACTTTAAAGTTATGGAACACACAGAGAATCTGGTCATGTTTGGTATCCAGTTCCGAAATTTGCCATCCTCAATTGTAAGTTGCTTATAAACCTATCCAACTATAGATACATCTACCATACACCATAGTTGTATAGCCAAGTTACAAACCCAAAAAAATCGATTTATCTATCATAAACCAACTGTCAATTCCCAATGTTGGTATAGAACAAAAAATCCCAATCCTCCTCGATGCTTGATGCTTCAGTCCCAATGGGCCCTGAGGTGAGGTTATCAAGTAAATACCTGGGTTAGAACCTCATTGTCAATAATAAACTAGTAACATCTATTCACCAATTGTACATAGGTGTATGTAAAGTTACTAACCAATATAACCCATTGATCAAGTCGTAACCTCACCAAGCCATGATCAAGTCCTGAGACCCGACCGGAGGCTCTCTCCATCGCTGCCGTTGGAACCAAGGGACTCGGGCAGGATGCAGCAACCCCAAGGAGCCATCCACCTTTTCCTCGCGGAGCTCGCGCAACGCGCGTTGCGCGGAGTGTTTTTGGAGAAACGCTGAGGTGATGGTAACCCAAGAGAAGGTAATCACTGAAGCATCTAGGGGAACAACTTGGGATTTATATTAAACTATATAGTTATATAGTGCACATTGGAATTAATGGTTGTGTTGTCTGATGATAGATGAATGGTGAACATCACTACATTATCGAACGAGTGAATGGGATCAACATAAACCAACAAGCATAACTAGCCACCTTGCAGGGAATGGCGTCAAAGACTGGTGATCGTGTGAAACATCCCACTTCAACTGTTGTGAATACACTTACATGTCATAGCATGTGGACAGAAAAACAAAATCGGTAGCCGTTTCAGGAACCTAAATTGGAGGTACCTACCATATATAGGTCATATAAGGTCCATATCTACGGGCTATGTTACCGGTGATAGCTTCATCAAACGCCTTCAACAAAGTTTCCAACTATTCGTCAGCGGTCAGGTCACCAATTTCACTCTTCGGAAATCGATCAAACGTGCCATGTTACCGGAGGGTTCCGGTAGCACCACGTCGCTATCAAACATCCCACTACTGGTTGGTGGTTGAGCCTACCGCTCTGAAAAATATAAGTTGGTCAGCCCAACTGAATGGAAAAAAAAACATGTTCCAAACCACCAACCAGGACTACCATGGCACAAAACATCCAATATGTACCCAATCTGTTGTCATTCAGACCCACATGTTTGTCAGTATTCATCGGGGACGTACACTTGAACTTGGCTCTCTATCGTTGGTGATCTATCCATCTTTACACTTTCGATTGACAGTTCAATGACCTATAGAAAGGACCCTTCCGAAGTATAAGTTTGTGTATGAACACATCCAACTGCAGATAACTGCAGATATATCCACCAGAACCCCCTGCATTTCGTTACTTCGTATACCAACTTATTTTTGGGTGGCTAAATTTCAATCTTCTGGTGGCTGATTCCAGGTCGGCAAATCCGCCAGGATTTTGTTCATCATAATTTATCTCAACCAGTCGGCAGATATATCCATCATGAACACCTCTCAAATTATTAGATGTCACCAACTTGTCACAACTGACCTATTTCATTGGGCCCAAAGGTGGCGACAAATATGTGGAATCTGCTTGGTTGCGATGGAATTTTTGTTGATAACGAATCTGAAGCCAAAACAAAATAAAACGATGTTATCGTTGTTACCATCTGGTTATTTAACATAGCCATGGAAAGATCCACCCTTTTTAATAGGTAAACCATCTATAAATGGGCCATAATGGGCCATCTATACCATGGCTATGTAACAAATACCCAGAGGGTAAATCCCAACCTTTTGGTGCTTCTAATCTCCATAAATCTGGCAGTGGAATCAAACCGCTGCTTGCTGCGGTGGATGGTACGTCTTGGCACCCGTTTTTTCTGGGTCAGTGCCTTGAGGAAGCAGGTCAGCCTTTTTGTTTTTTGTTCGTAAAAAATATCCGTAAATCCATCCACCGGCAAATATCAAAATAAGCCCTACTCTTGTAGTAGCTATAAAATGCTTTAAACTAACTTATCATCCATTCACGTTATAAACCACAACATACTCCACTTAAATATTTTATAGATATAATTCATAACCCAACATATGTATATTATATATATACATACAGTGTAGCATGCATAAACATAAACATGATGCCTCCAACTTATCTGTCAACAACGAATCCCCATGTTGGTTTCTCTATTTCCCAAGGTTTCATTGGTTACGACGTGTCAAATCCCTATGTTTCCCTCAAGGTTTGATGGCTAAGTGGGTTTGTCTGAAAATAAGGTACAGCTGTACCTCAAAAACCGATGGTTTATGATCACTTTCCCATTGAACAGGACTATTTTTGGGTACATCCCATTTTCAGACACATATTTCATCAAAATTCCATATGTTAATCCCTATTTTGCCTCACGATTTTTCTGGTTCAACGGTGAAATTGTCCCTACTTGGTGGTTCATCCCAGTTAGTAAGTGGGTGATAACCCCAATTATAAGTGGATTAACCCTACTTATCCCATTTATAACTGGGGTTATATCCCACTTACTAACTGAGATGAACCACCAAGTATCCAGGTCCAGGTCGACCTCAAGGTCCAAGTGACCAAGACCGCCTCCAGTTGTAGGTCGTCGGGACTGAAACTTTTGAGCCCTGGGCGGAGAGAATTCACGAGCCAGTTATGGCCCGAGTTATATCAGTTGTAAGTACTGACAACACCCCATTTATAGAATGTATAATCCCATAAAAATAACCAGTTATAACTGGTAAATGGCCATAACTGTACAATGTGGATGTATAACTAGGTTAATACTAAGTGAACTATACGATGGATGGATATTGATGGTACTGTAGATATATCTAAAACATCCTACAAGGTGGTGCCCCCTAGTTATGTTTGCTGGTTTCAAACCCCATCTAGCTATAGTATACTATAGTTATAACATGATATAACTACCATAAACCCTAGTTATTGTAGTTATAAACCAACTTGGCTATCGTGGCCGCGGGGCCCCCTGGTTGTTGGTGATGGTTGATGTTGGTTGCTGGGGGGTTGAATCCCATCTTAAGTGGCATCACTGGTTTTGTGGGATTTTTCTAAGGTACCCACTGGTTATGACTGTTACATAGCCATGGTATAGATGGCCCATAGAAATAGATGATTTTCCCAGCGACACCAACCTCCATTTATTTTGGTGATTTTCCATGGCAAACTGTTAAATAACCAGAGGGTAAATCTACTTACAAATAGGGTGAACTAACCTACAAAAACGATCCGTGGGTAGTTCGCCACCAAGTATGGTTGGATTGGATGTTTATGGTAGATACTGTGGATGGTTGCGAAATCCTGCACCAGTAACTGCAGTAACTATTGGGATTCCTATGAAACACTGCAAATAATTTGCGATTATAACATATTATAGCCAATTAGAGCGGCATAAACCATCTACATCATCTACCAACTGGTGAAGATTTTCTTCCCTCCACAGTATGTTTGTAGTTAATGGTTTTTTGAAACCAACAAGCATAACCGGCGGGGCACCACCTTCAGAGGGCTGCAGGGATATAGCAGCTAGAGGAGAGATGTATCCTGGAGCCACCGAAACGATAAAACCACTGCCGCAGCTACCTGATTTCTATCCAAGTTGCTATGTGCTCTTAGTAATTGTGGTTTAAGATTGGATTATTAAATTTATTAACCACATACGGCACACTGCTAAAACCGCATTCTACCACGAATGAAAAATCAAATCAGAAAATCCAAAATGAAATCATGAAACACCGCTGCAATGTGGTGAATATCAAAAACAAAAGTCCAATGCTGTCCCACATTGTGACCAGCAAACCCAGCATGGGAAGCAACTCCCCAGATTTTAGTCCGTCCCTCCCATCTTCCCATGGTTCGTTCACCCCGATTTTCTCCACCATCGGATGCAACGGCTTGCGCCGACTACCCGGAACGGCCTTGAACTGTCGCTGGGTCGCTTTCGAAGAACTTGGGCATACCTGGCAGCATCCTTGAACTGTACTTGGGTTTGTCTCAAAATAGGGTACCTCGAATCCACTGGTTCATAATGATGTTCCCAATAAAATTGCCAATTTTGGAGGTAGACCCCTTAGACCCCATTTTAAGACAAACCCACTTGACGGTTCACCTAGTTCTAAGTGGGGCAAGTAGGCTTAGTCCACAACTGGGGTCAGAATCCACCATTGGGGTAACCACCAATCTCTGGTAATCTAACATAGCTATTTGTCACATTTGTCACATGGCCCCTTTGCAAATGCTCCCTATGAGCCCACTCTTGGATTACCAGCTATTTTCGGAAGCAGAAAATCAGAGGGATCTTGATCTAGCTACGTCCCATTGTAATCCTCTATCAGACTTTATCATGTTTTGAAAACAAGAAGAAACCGTCCCAACATTTACCATAAAACGGGTGTTATAACCATCAAAATATTGCTGGTTTCAGCTTTATCAACATTACCGCACTACCACTGTTTTTGGTGTACCCATTCTCATAAACCTCAAACTTGGGGATTGTTTATTCTAGTCATCCCATGATTATCCATTTTTATTATGCCATTAACCCGTATTATCCCATCAAATTTCCTACTATATCCCCACCAGTACAGATTCATCCCATGATAGTTTTCCCTACTTCCAAATTATTCAATTTATTCACCCATATTCTCCCACTATTGGTGGTGCCCCCCCAGTTATTAAATGGGTTATAATCCCATTAACTATAGATATATCACCAACAAAAAACATACTTTTTAGATTTATGAACCAACTTAGCTATCAAACGGGGGCCCAACATTGTATAGTATATTATCCACTTATAGATAAATATGTATATACATATAATGACAATACACAGTAATTACTCATATATTACTATCATTAGGCAAACAAAAACCTATGATTTCTCCCGGTGCAGCGCCACAACGCGTCACTCGCCAGCGAGTGACACTCGACCACCTCCAACGGCGCCGTGGGATCCTCCGCGGCCACATCCAGAAGGCCCAGGTCCAACGAGGCGCCGTCCTGGACACAACCCGCATGGCAGCTGGAGAGTTCCAGCAAAACAAAAATGGTGCATTTAACCAGCAAAAATGTGGTGGATGTTTCAGATGAAAATAGTGGATTTAAGATGTTTTTTCAGATGGTTTAACATGATTTAAGATGAGTTATATAACATGATTCGACATAATTTAGCAGGATTTAACATGATTTAACATGATTCAAGATGATTTATGGCATCTGGATTTGATGGACAAATTGGGATTGAACCAGCCAATTCATGGGGAACATGTCACCAGCAAGTTGTGTTGAATGATTCACCAGCCAATTCATGCTGGACTTTTCAGGATGACAAGGATTATCCAACAAACCCATATGGATGGATAAAGGTCTCCCTAGAATTTGTTGAAATGATGACTGAACAAACTTATCCTTAGTAAACATGTGTTAATCCCAGTGTTCTTTGTTACACAGATAAATTCACATGTTGACCAGAAATTCAATGTCATAACATCCGTATCTCAATTTCAGCAGTGCTCAAAACCCGAATTGTCATCCTTTTTGTACTGGATATTTAAGTATAATGGATAATCTTCTATTCTTCCAATATATTGAACAAGCTCCTAATACATTGGATAATTTTGTTTCAATGGATAATTTGTATCAATGAATTTCATAGTGTTATTGAACTACCCAATGGATAATTTGTATAATGTCCTTGGTGGTTCATCCCAGTTAGTAAGTGGGTTACAACCACAATTATAAGTGGATTAACCCTACTAACTGGGATGAACCACCAAGTATAAGCTCCTACTGGGTGGTTCATCCCACTTAAGAACTGCGACTCGTAGGTGGGTTTTTTTCACCCAGCTGTAAATGATAAGATTGGACGGGATGATCCTCCGAGTACAAGGTGGTGACCCTAAACCCTAGAAACTTAGCTAAGTTGGTTTGTGAATGTTTATAATTAACATAGGTTAACTATGATTTATGGTCCATACTTGGAAACTTGACTAGGTTGAGACTTAACTAAGTTGGTTTATAATGTTTATAACCTATGATTTATGGTAGATCTATCCAAACACTTCGTGTGTTTTTTTCACCACTTTGTGGGGCACCACTGGCCGCACCATTGCCTCCAAAGACTTCAAGTGCTCAGGTAAGCGCAGGACCACCGTCAGTCCACGACACAGCACGGTGTAGGCGTCCCATAAACTCGTGGGGATCCGTTGGTCGTAGGTGAAGACCTGATCTCGCTGACAAGCGCTGCCCCGATAGGAAAGGTTGTGGAGGTTTCCTAAAATTCGGGATCCCGAAAACCATTGATTTCAAGACAAAATCCAGTCAAATTTGGATGATTTGGGGTTACCACAATTTTAGGACATCTACTTTTTGTGATGTGGGATAAAACGTGTCCATATGGGATATGGAATATAATATGTTTTGACTACTACATACAAAATTACCATAAATGCGTTAAACCATGTTTGGAAATGTTTCGGACAAACCCAATAATAATGGAGATATACTGGGGATTTGTTTGGGATATGAAACCCCAAATGGGTATATGGTTTATGGCCATCCATTCCATGATGAAAGGAATGCTTGTACTGGGCATATAAATCCCTGTTAAAGGATTGATCGCCATCTCCCAAGATGGGCATACAATCCAAATTTTGACGATCGCATATGTAGTTTAACTATATCATATAGCTAATCTGGTTGGTGGTATACCTACCCCTCTGAAAAATATGAGTTCGTCAGTTGGGGTTTTTATTCCCAATATGGAAAAACAAAATTCATGTTCCAAACCACCAACCAGTTGTAAACCATTATTATTAACCATCATTATTAACCATCATTATTGACCATCATTAACCACTAATGTTCACCATCATTATTGTGATAAGTGGCTCCCAGTTACCTATGAGATTTAGATGCAGTCAGTAGCTTCGGGGTGCCGAAACGAGCCCCAAAACACACTGGTTTCTCATAATCGTCCCCTTTCGAAAAGACCACAATTGGGAGTAAATCCCGCATTTCCAAAGAAACCGAAATCGCATCTATTGTTGCTTATATAATACATTATATAAATTAAATATATATATATATATTATATGTATATATATATTATATTGTTGGTTATGAGTTATGGGTCAAAACCCTGTACCGATGTGGAGGTTGTCCCTCCGCGCGACTCATATCGGATATTGTGTTGTAGGCTACCACAGAGCTCCACCTTTAGTAAATGGCAGCAGTCCAGCCGTGCTTTTTCAAGTCTGCCTTGGACAATTCACAATGCCTTGATATCGGAAATGAGCAGTTCCAACTCTTGGAATGTGAGAAGCGATGTAAGCAGAAGTTGGGGGATGTTTTTTGTGAAGAAAGAAGAAACAGCAGTGACCAGAGAAAACTGCATGAATACAAGAGCAAATGAAACCCCAATGACGACCAGAGAAAGAATCAAGAATGGTGGAGAGTAACGTAGTGATAACTTGAAGTTTGAGGGGCGCTTTGCTCCATTGCCCAACTCCATGTAGGTCCACGAATTCTAATGACCATAGTCTCCATCTCGGTCAGTGTCTCCATCGGCGCCACGATTTTCAGTCTTGGCTTGACTTAGGGGCGCCACAAACCTGAGATTGAAAACAGTTTGTACCTTCAATGGATTGGTTTAAGGGAAAATTTACAGGAAACCATGGTTTTTACCATCAAATAATGTCAAGTGAGGATTAATAATACCCCCAGGATTAATCAACCACCATTGCCCAAAAACAAATGTAATTTAAAAACAGGTGGTCCCCCCAGATTAATAAACCCACCCGATTGGAAAAAACAACCAATTCTGAAATCCATTTTTTATCCAACATGTTTTTATTTCCAATTCTATTTATGTCCAATTGTTTTTTTTTACCTTTTTTTTTAAATCATCATTGTTATACTTCAGGTTTAAGTTGATCATTGAAAAATTCAAAAAACAACTATTCCCCAAATGATCGATTTCTAATTAAAATCTTTATAAAAATCATCAGTTTGGATAGCTCCCAAAGGGTACCCCCCATGAGCCCATGTCCCCCATTAATAATAAGCAGGGTTTGCCCCTGATTAATCAACCACCTTTCTGATCCATGAAATTTTAACAAATGCAATGGAATTCTATTAAGATCCAATTGACGTAAACCATATCCAAAGTTTTATGGTTCAGAGTTGCTTATTATTAAGGGGTCGTCAAGAAAACTAGCCAGAAGGTACCCCCCTACCTTCTGGGGGGGGGTTATTAATCCGGTGTTGGCATTATAGGGGTTTCCTGTAAATTTTCCCATCATCCAGTTCTATGATACCTGCAAAAGAGTTTTCAGTCAGTGCAAAAACAGAAAATGTAAAGTTGTAAAGAGTGGAGATTTACTTATTTCACCTCAATAGGTTCGAAGCATAATCGCGAGCCTCTTGCCAATGACCCCTGGTGAACACCAAAATAGCTGGTTTAAATGGATGGTTATTCCTCCAAATATGATAGTAAATGATAGTAATAGGTTTTGACAATTTTTGACCCATCCCCATATGTATTCTGCAAAGTGGTGCCCCCCAGTTATAAGCTGGCCTATAAACACCATTGACTAGTTCGATATAAGTATCATAAACCATAGTGACATTGAACTTTTCTAAACTAACTTAGCTATCGAACTGGGGCACCACATTGTACCCTCTGGTAAACATACAAAAAAACGAACTGGAAAGATCCACCATGTTATAGCTGGGTAAATCCGCTGTAAATCACCATTCCAGAGGGTGGTGTTCCCATGTGTTCCCCATATCAATCCATATCCATGGGATGGGATTGAAGCCTTTCTCCTTGGATTTGCTCTAAAATCACCAACTGAACAGACCCAAAAAAACATGGAGATTTCATGGGGATATACTGGGATATATATATATGATATATTAGTCATAAAATGGGATGTGCAACCAGTGGCTGATACATCCAACTTGACAATTCACAAACTATTTCGGATCATTGATGAAATTGTTGGTGGGATATTTCATTATATACAGGGTGGTGCCCCCCCCCGGTTGTAAGTCGGTTTATAAACCATAGTAACTGTAGATGTAACTACCATAAACCCAAGTTATTGAACTTATAAACTAAATTAGCTAACTATGGGGCACCACCTTGTAGAGATATGTTGCTGGGATACTTATAACTTGATCAACTTGATAAACAAATAGATATATTGCCCTCTGGCAAAACTAACACACACACATATATATATATAAATAGCTAAATCACCATTTGTAATAGGTAAACCATCTATAAATGGGACATTTTCCATAGCTATGTAACAAATTACCAGAGGGTATATATATATATATGATTATATATATATGTTTTTTGGCTTGGCAGAACATGATATGTTGGCAAATCCGAGTCATGAGAAGCCACCGAGCGGCAAAGAGGGCCAGACCAAAACCCTTGCGACCTTTACCTTGGGAATCAAACATCCGCACAGTGAAGAGGCCCAATGAACAGTTATACCCTCTGGCAATTTGTTGCATCGCTTTTGAAAATGCCAATTTTCACTGGGAAAATCCACTATTTCTATGGCCATGGCTTCAATAGCTATGTAACAGTCATTACCAGAGGGTAAATGGAATGAAATAACTCCTATAACTGAGGTTATACATCATTATAAGCCCGCAAAAATAACTGTTAGTTGGGCCATAACAGCAATGATTGGTGTTCCCAAAAAGATTGGCGGAAACTTTGGGAGTCAACTTTGGCGTTACCAGCGTGTTTTTTTTAACCATCAAACGTCAAGGGGAAAAACGTGGATTTCATCAGACATTGAAGACTTCACCTGAAATTGGGCACTATACCATCTGGTTATGACTGTTACAGTTCGCCATGGAAAATCCCCATGTTTAAGAACGGTATGGCCCATCTATTTCGATTGGGACCATGGCTTCCATGGCTACGTAACAAATTACCAGAGGGTAGTTGGTTTGGAAAGCTTCAGTTGATAACTCCGGCGAGCTCCTGTGTTTTTTTTCGTCGGCATCCCTATCAATCAAACATGGCAGTGGCAAATCCTCAGCAAGGTATAGATAACTACCACATTTACCATCTGGTTATTTGTTACATAGCCATGGTATTGATGACCCATTTATAATAGATGCTTTACCCATGAAAAATTGTGATTTTCTATGGCTACGTAACAAATAACCAGAGGGTACAATGTCCCTTTATAGACATTTACATTCATTTCCCATTGCCATGTTTGATTGCCGGAGGGTAGCAGCTGAAGTACAAGATAGTACAAGTATATCATTATTTCTATGAAATACCTACCAACTAGTGGTGGTTGTGTCCCAACAACCTCATTGCTAAGAATTGCCCAATATCGAAGCTGTCTTCAAGCTAGATACTCTTTCCTACCTACTACAATTATGGCCCTTAACCAGCTATAAGTCAGTTGTACCCCTGCCATTTATGGCATGATAACGCCATTTATACAGTAACTGGTAATACGGGCACTGTAGAGGTCAAATTGATAAGTGATTTGCCAATTTTCGTTCATTGGTCCCCAGTATCTAGACCTGCCGGACCTGTCGAAAAATCTGCTGCACATGGAGTTGCCAAGATGCAAACGATGGCCCTGTCGTGTTTGCCTCAGTTCGCTCTCTGGAATCATGGAGAAGGTACTCTCTATGAACCTGGAAGTTGGAAGACACATGCATATTATATCCCTAATGACACATACATATCACATTGTACATGTGGATAATTAGACGAGATATCACATAATTACATGATTCATATTTATTAATCTCCTAATGTTGGTAAAATAATAGTAATAATAATAAGAAGAAGAAGAATAAGAATAAGAATAATAGTAATAAACCATCCCCCGAATCACCATTTTCATAGGTGGGATTCAAACCATTCCCAGTCATGGGTGGTTCATGGCATTGTTTTACCCACATTATTCTGTATCCCCCCTTAACAGTTGTGGAATTATAACTCCTAATAACTCCTAATAACTCCGATAACTAAGGTTATATATCATTATAGCCCATAAAAATAACTTCTAGTTGGGCCATAACTTCGCATTGCCATTGCCATTGCTGCCAAGTAGCATTGCTCGCGACATTTCCGGATGCAGTGCCTCGCGGGACAATCTTCAAGGGGATCCATGGGGTACCATCTGGTAATTACCCTCTGGTAATTACCCTCTGGTAAACTAACATAACTATGGAAAATCACAATTTTTAATGGGCAAATCCACTATAACTGGTTATCTATATAGGTTTAACAAGGATTTTATAATGATTTAATGGGATATTAATGGGATATTAATGGGATTACCATCTGGTACTGGTAATTAAATGCAATTATCCATGGCTTGGTTTTCACGAGAAAATCGACTAACCGGAAACCCTGTTTGGTTTTTACCATCAAATTTGATGGGGGTTTCCGGTTAAACTTTTCCCATCTTCCAATTCTATGAAATTCATCGGTGATGAATGGGATTTTATAGAGATTCCTGGGGTACCCGGGTAGAAAATGTTCGACGGTTCACTATGGAAGCCACGGCCCCTATAAAGTTCCATCATTGCACTATTTTTTATACATGAAACTGAAACTGGTTTTCCACAGTCATGTCAACTTACCAAAGGGTAAATGAGGTATGGTTCATTGATGGACATGACTACATGAATACAGCCGATTCCCAAACAGGAGTTACTGCTACGCATTGACAAGATCAGGGACATTCCAAGTAGGGGGTGCAATTCAAGTTATATATGTGGGTAAATATGCATGCATCTATATGTATGTATATCACCAACTGTACTCATATGAATAGAATGTTACAGTACCCACAAAACATCACCCCAACTTTACTCGCAAGTGGGGTGCAAACCATCTTTGAGCCGATCTCACCTGCGACTCAGCTCGACCAGCTTTGAGACCACACCGCGGACACTGCCTGGTTTTCGCACACGGTTGGAATGAAATTGTCGAATACCCTCTGGTAAACTGTTACATAGCGAAGTGGAAAATTACCATTTGGAATAGGTAAATCATAAATCAACTGTTAACAAGCCATTTTCAATAGCTACCAGTAACAAATGACCAGAGGGTAAAAATGGCTTTGTCTGAACATGCTCCATGGGGTTTCCCATGGGAACCCCCCGAAAATCCCACGGTTTATCACCATGTTCCCTACTGGCAATTTGGAAAATCGTACCTTATTTTCAGACAAAGTAAAGCCATCATCAGCACTTAGATCAATGGGAGTCTCAGGATCCTAAAATGGAGGTACGTTAGTACCATATTACTGGCCATATGTTGTTGGGATATTCCCTTACATAAGCCTTAAACAAAGGTCTAAAAAAATGGTAGGTACCTGCAATCACATGATGATAGGATCCAGTTCTATATGTGGGGGGGGCCCCGTTTGATAGCTAAGTTGGTGAACATACTTCCAATAACGGTTTATGACACTTATGACGAACTAGTATTCATAGGGGTTTATAAGCCAACAAACAATGCCTGGGGGTGCACATTGTATATATATATACACATAATTATATAATTATATATATATAATTATAAATATATACCCTATATGGGGTCATAAACTGGTAAACAATACGTGGATGCAAATGGGTTGGTCAAAAACAAGGTCTCAAAATGGGGTATACTTCCAAGTTTTTGCGATCCTACATGGGGCTGAATGAGGCCCAATGGAAATGAACAATCCAAAAACATGTCAGGGATTGTTCAACAACACTTACAGCAATGATCAATGATAAACATACTATAGATGAAACAAATCCAAGGATTTACATTATATATATATATTCATTTATTTATTTGGATCATTGCCTGGGGACACCATGAGTCTTCCATCTGGCCCATCAGCCTCCATGCTCTTCTTCGGCCAAAGCCAACAATTCAGAAGCCCTTGTGGGATCAGCGGGGTTCGATGGGTTCGATGATTCATCCTCCATAATTTTCAATTGTCATTTCAGGGACTTAAATTGGAGGTTCCTACCATATATATATATATATATAATTATAATATTATGTATATATATAAGGCCTATGTAAGGGCATATCCCACCAAAATATGGACACAGTACTTCCATTCCAGGAACCGATTGCTTGGAGGTACCTACCATATGATTTAGGCCTAGCCTATTTCAGGCCTAAATTTCAGGGAATATCCCCCCAAAATATGGACAAACATATGGTACGTAAACACGTACCTCCATGTATTGGATCCTGGAGATCTCCCATTGATCATTTCCAGCATTTCAACTGATTCAACTGTTCCATCTTTTTGGATCCCTCGTTTTTCAACATGGCAATAAACTACATTCCAAAGTGTACCAGACATTGGACAATCGGATATGGTTCATGAAACATCCCCAATCTGGTTGGTTAATAGTGGGATTCCGAGTTTATACATGATGAGATCATTCATCGCCTATCATGGTTGAGAAATGATGGGCTTATCAATATTGGGGTTATGTGGTCATAAAAATAACAAGCCAACCAACATTTAATTTCTCAATGTCCCCGTTTTTGTTCCAGGGTCAATTCCTTGTAACAAGCTCCTAGCGACGGTCAGATCACCATTAGTTCAACAAACATGGCTTCAGCTGCTCAATTGCAAAGTGTGTGTATCTGTCGTCCCTTTATATGGCCTGGTTCAGAACGGGATTCCCATAATCGATAATAGTTCCCAATGCAATATATCTATGGGGCAGTAGAATCTTCAAACTAATCATCAACAGGGCTGAAGAGCAGCCACTAGTTCGAAGTATAATGGTTGATTTACCCAACTATTACCAGAGATATTCCCTGTATATCCTCAGTATATCCTCAGTATATCCCCGGTATATCCCCAGTTCCCAGATCTCACCTGTTTGGGCGAATGGTGCAAGGCAGCACGCGTTCCATGGCGGTACGACAACCGCGGTGTACGCGCGTGCTGGCGGCTTGGAACTTAAAGGTGTTTAAGAAATGCCCCTTGGGTACCTACAATGTGGCCCCCCCCCAGTTATGTTTGTTGGCCTATAAACCCCATTGACTATAGTTGTCAGTATCATAAACCACAGCTATTGGAACTATAAACCAACTTAGCTATCGAACGGGGGCCCCACATTGTAGGCTGGGTTTGATGTGTTCAATCTTCTGAAAAAAAAAACTATGACTCTGGAGAAAAACACTATGAAAATCGTCATCGGAGCCTACGAATCCCAACGCCACACCGTGGGAACTGCTGCGTGGCAGCGGGTGACGATGATCAGCGCCGCGGGGGTGGGAATCTGGGAACTTGATGGTTTTTCTACACTGTTCCCCTCTGGTTATGTCAAAATAGCTATTGAAAATGACCATAGAAATAGTGGATTTCCCCATGAAACATGGATATTGTCCATCGTTATGTAACAGTTTACCAGAGGGTATCCCATTTAAGCAAGAACCGGCATATCTCCATGCGGACTTGTAACCACCACGTTGACTCACCACCTGTCATACATTTGCAGGCTTCCTTAATGTCCTCAATGGTTCAATTTCACCCATGCAACACTCTGCCTACCAATGTGACTGAATGCATGTATTCAGGAGGATTCACTTCATGTACCTCTTCTCTTGTGAAGTTCCTCGGATTTTCCAAGATGTGAACAAACATATATCAACAACAGATTAATATACCCTTTGGTAAACTAACATAACTATGGATGATAACAATTTCAATGGGTAAATCAACTATAAACGGCCATTTTCAATAGCTATGTTAGCTTACCAGAGGGTAACAAGGCTGATTCGAAGGGGACGGAAAATCATGCTCCCAAACAAGTTGGGTTTGCTCAATCCCGACCATCTTCAGCAGATTCCCTATTGAAATGAGGTAGATTTAGGTAGATTTAGGTAGTATAACTGTGTAACTCCCAAGAAATTGACCAATCAGACCAATCATTAATAGGATTTTATAGGCCCCCTAATTATAAGTTGGTTTATAATCCCATCTAATCATAATTATAACATAAGGACCATAAACCCTATAGCTATTGTAGTTATTTGGCCTAACTTAGCTACAGTATCTTGCGGGCCCCACATTGTTGCCATTGCCAACTCGGAGACCACCCCATCTTCCCGCGGCCTCCCACAGGAAACTCCACGTCAACATCGTACATCACAGTGAGCCTAGAACGGTGACTTTGTGGTGCCCGAGTTCGTTGAAAAAAGCGGTGAAGAGAACTAGCTAGCTCTAGATTAATTAATTAAGGATCACAGATGTTTACGGCAGGTATCAGTACAATCTATATAAGGTTGGTATAAGGTCTATTCACCTCATCTATATGAATACACATATATTTCCCCATAAACCCTAGCTATTCTAGATATAAACCAACTTAGCTATCTTGGCGGCCCCACCTTGTAGATCCTTGGGGAGAAACCAGTGACCACAAAGCCGAAGCTGTATGTTGGACCTACCTTTTTTCTCATCTGCAGTACCCACCCAAACAAAGACTGTGAATTACAGTACGTGGTGCTACTCATGTGCAATACCAACCTAGTCCAATATTAGAATATATAGTTGAATTCCCCACTAAGGCACTACTGGTAGTTTTATATACCCTTTGGTAATTTAACATAGCTATGGAAAATGACAGAAATAGTTGATATACCTATCAAACATGGTGATTTTCCAGTTCGCAACATGTAAACGTTTAGCAGAGGGTAGTTTTACCATGAATCACCATATTTTTTTTCATGAACCACTATTCATATCTATGAAAATCAGTATTAACCACTATTATTATGGTAGTTTTAGACTTTTTTTCTTCTGTAATGTTGGGAGTGGTGTTGTGAAATCCCGCTAGCCGAGACGAAGCAACGCATGGATCATCCAACAGAACAGTTCTCCTCGTTGTGAATGGCTTCAACTCGTTGGGTTGCTAAGAAACGAGACCTATAACCGACTGCATGACTAACTGGTAAGAATGCCTCTTAGATGATGGGATTCCGAATCATTTACAGATAAATCCATGTAGATTGTTTAATTATCCATCCATATAGATTATTTAATTGGACCATACCGCTATTTCATCAACACTTTCCTCCAGTTTTAAGTTCGAACACGGGTCTCCAGTGAACTGACGCCCTTTGAGCCCCGAACTCTGCAGGTCGACTGCTCACGGGTTCATCTGGAAAGGGCAGCTGAAGCACCACGGATGGAACTGGCACACCTGGTGAAGCTGCAGTGATGATACAGTTATGGTCATTTATCAGTTATAAGTACTTATAACCGATAACCCCATTTATAGAATGTATAATCCCATTTATAACCAGTTATATCTAATAAATGGCCATAACTGTAGCTTCAGATAGGTGGAGTTCACCAAGAATCAGATTCGTACTGCTGTTTTTTTTCTGCAGTATTCAAACGAGGAGTTGAAGGGATTTAAGCAACCATTTTAAATGTTATTTTATATACATGACTTTACCATAATATGGGAAGATCAGTGGTATATAATCAGACAGGAAGCAATTCATAATCAATTGAGGGAAGTGGATGCTCAAGGTTGATCAGAAGGATGTGCGGCTACAGTCAGGGCCAGGGCTCGAATAAAAGAGGTCATATGAGAACAGTATTCCGTGCCACGTTGAGAAAATTATTTGAAGAAGCAACATCTCTACAGGATATATCCAAATGTGATTTTATACACCCTGCATTCGTGTTTAAAGCTGATCGACTAATTAGTAGATACTGCATCCCAAGTCGCAACAAAAAAACATTACTAACCTACCCATCCACTGAGTTTTACCATCCAAGAATATCGGGCACTTCCGGCAACATTTCACTTCTATCCTTGTGTCAACCAATTCTGCTCCACATCGAAACACTTCTTTCTCCGTAGTGGAGTGGGAAAAGGAGATTCTACCCAACCCTTAACAAACGATGCTTTGTAATAGATCCTAACTTCATGTGGATGTTCCAAGTTCTTGTTTTAACTGAAACTAAATCTTCGTTGAAAAAAACAAGTCTCTTTGTTGGTCAATGGGTTCTGGAATTCCCCAGAGCTGGAATGATCCGGTGCATTGGTTAAAGTTAAGGGACTGGGTTTATTTTCGCTCTTGTATAGCTAGCATTAATCTGGTATAATTTTATGGTAAAAACACTCCGCTTTTTGACGCAACAAAATCCAGACCTTTTTTTGTGTTTTTCATCACCATGATTTAATGCTGAATATCTCCCAGCCGTTGATGGTGGATCCACATGCGAACAAAAAACCCAAAAGTTTTCGGATAGTCCAATTCTTCATGCGAAAAATCTGTTGACCTGTTGACCCTCCGGAATAATACCCTCTGGTGAACTAACATAGCAATGGAAAATCACCATTTTTCATGGGAAAATCCACTATAAATGGCCATTTTCCATTGCTATGTTAGGTAACCCCCAAAAACTGGTCTCTTCGTACGGAGAATTCAAAACGTTGTGCTCCAAAGGCGACGCCGCGCGTTGTTTCGACTGACGAGCCACTCCAGCCGTGAGAAACTCACCATTTTCATTGAGTAAATCATAACTGGTTGGTGGTTGACCTACCATTGGTTAAGGTAATATACCTGGTTAATAGTGGTTAATATATGGTAGTGATGATGGTTAATGATGGTTAATCATAACTGGTTGGTGGATGAGCCACCTACCCCTCTGAAAAATGATGGAGTTGGGAATTGTTGGGATGATGAACTTCCCAACTGAAGGAGTAAAAATCATGTTCCAAACCACCAATCAGAGTATGTTTATGATCCATAAATGGGTCATCTATACCATACAATGTGAGGCCCCCAAGATAGCTAAGTTGGTTTATAAGTCCAATAACTATGGTTTATGGTATTTATAACTATAGTTACTGGGGCTTATAAACCAACAAACATCACTGGGGGGCCTCACATTGTAGCTATGTAAAACATCACCTTAAAGGGTCAATTTCCCCATAGGATCTTGAAATCCCCACCCTGCTCTCCTGGGCCAAGGCACTTAAGGTGGTCGCCGGCAGACTTCGAGCGATCAAAGAAGACAGGAAAGATTGCGAACAGATCTCCTGCGGAGCTCTGCGCATCCCTGAGGTGCTATTTTTGTTTTAAGGTGAAAGATACTTTTCAGGTAATTCCATACAAGTCCAGTTTCTTTTTTGGCAGGATTCAAGGTTCTGAGCTATCTCCATCTATGTACCATTGGTTGCATGGTTAAACAATGTTAAACATATTATTAAATATTGCAAACTCGCCTTTGGTGGTTGGGTAACGCGTCTTCTTCTTGGTTGAATTCGAATCTTTGATGGTAATATGAACCTGCTACATGCCAGTTTCTTCCTTTTTTTTGATTCGGCATGGATCCAGAAAATACGATCCCGCACGGCCGGGGAAGTCATCCATGACATCTTTGAAAACACATAAACCATCATAAACCAGTCTTGGATGGGACCAACTCATTGAAACCCACTTCTGTACCTTGACCCATACCTACCATGGCTCCCATGCTCCACCATTTTTTTGTGGCCAGTTCAACAACCCAAAGACCTGGCAATTTCATGCGATTTCGGGTATTGCGGTATAACCATGTTTGTGTTGCAGAGCCACCCAAACATACTGTACAATGTGCCCCTAGCTATAAGTTGGTTTATAGCCCCGTCTAAATATAGTTATAACATGTTATAACTACCATAAACCCTAGTTATCGGCCCAACTTTGCTATCGAACGGGGGACCCACATTGTATACAATGTGGGTCCCCCGTTCTATAGATAAAACAAATACATTTACAACATTGGGGATCGGGCTTAAGCATTTACAACATTTACAACAGTTACAAGCCAGTAAGAACCCATCTCCCAAGTTCAAGGGCTTCAAATGACCCACCCTTTTTAAAAGGCAATGCATGGCAATGCCTTTCCCAAGAATTAGATTCCGCAAATGGCAGACTAACCAATTCGAAAATCCGTTATTCAACAATTTGCAACACCAGTTTGGTTGATGAAAATCCAATTCGCAACACCAATTGGAAACGATTTCCACCACCCAGTTAGGTAATGAACATTGTAATTAAAACCAGTAAGTTAGGTAATTCAACAATCGCAATTCATTTCCCAATTCTCAGGTCCGGTCATGAAAACCACTTTGCTTCAACCACTCCAGAACCCTTTGAGGCCATGTCGCCATGTCCTGTACCGAGGCCAGGTAAGTGGAATTCTCAGCCAAGTTGGAGAAAGTACAGGAGGTGAGGTTCTGAGCGCAGCAGAGCCGCAGTTCACGAAAGGAATTGGGATGGATTTCAGTGGAAGAAATTTACCCTCTGGTAAACTAACAGTTCGACCCTGGCAGTCATCGGGGTTGGAAGATTAGTGAAACAACTAAACAATGGCTATTTTCAGGGTCAAGCTGTTAATTTACCAGAGGGTAAACAACCGTATGAAACATGGGGCTTAAACACCCAAGATATCTGAACAAAAAAACACCTTGTACCGCAAAAGACTCTGGAATGGACAAAGCAAAAGAACGTGGAAAACCCATTGGGGGGTCATTTCACCATATCCAATTTCTGGTTTACTCAATGCCATTGTTACATCTATTGGGGATGGTTTATGGCATGGGGTTTACATCGTTGACATGATGATTCAGCCAGTCAAGTGATATTTTTTGATTTAACTTTGTTGGGAGAACACGCTATGGTTACCATCAACCCGGTATTTTGTTCTCCCTTAAATCGAGTCTGATAATATTTCCGCACCCCAAAGTGGTTGGTAATTTCAGCCGATCTGAAAAGAACTGATCATCCAGAGCTTGAATGGGAAGAATGGGACTTCTCCAAAAAAAAACACTGGCTTACAGTTATGGTCATCTATCAGTTATAAGTACTTATAACCCCATTTATAGAATGTATAATCCCATTTATAACCAGTTATAACTGGTAAATGGCCATAACTGTGTTCTGTATCTTTTTTTGCTGGTAACCCCTCTTGTTGGTGATCTTTCCCCCTGAGGCAGTGACTGCAGGCTGAGGTTTCGTTGGGATAAGGAACGTAGGGTGAACATAAACCAAGGAATATACGGTTTTCTGCTTGGTGGGTTGGAACATTTTTTTAATGAATTTCCATATATTGGGAATTTCATCATCCCAACTGACTTTCATATTTTTCAGAGGGGTTGAAACCAACAACCAGCCTCTGACAGGGGAAATGGTCACACGGGGATTTTTGTCAGGGAGATCGTGGAGGAACTTGTGGAGGAACCTCTTCTACCCCAAAATGACGATGCCGGTAGCTGCCAATGTCCCAGTAAGTTTGCACCAAAAACACTTCCTGTTTTTGAAGGATACCTGAGAAGTGAAAAGCTGTTTCATAGATGTCTGTTGCAAACATGCAGTCGCCAGTCCATGCAAGACTCTCAAATGAAATTGATGGCTGGCTCGAGCGTTCATCGAAACTTGGACATACTTTAGCTCAGATGACTGGCTTGACACCCGCATCATTGTAGATGAACATCTTCAGTCAAACTCACTGCCGGTGTCATCGGACTCATGATCAACAGGCGGAGTAACAGGCGGCAGGCAACAGGCGGTGTGGTCTCTTGCTTGGGCGATTCAAGGATTGTAGATTGTCAACTGAGGCCTCAAAACGTCCTGAGAGACAGCCGTGTAGACCTTGCAGGATCATTTTATAATATTTTATAATCGGTATAACCGTGGTGGGTAGCTTCCATAAGTTAGGATATATGACCCCATGAGCTACCTTGTTTCCAGGACGTCAGAGACCACATCATCCAAAGCTCGACCTGTTTGTTGGAGTGAGATGTAAAAGGCAAAAACGCTGGAGTAGGTTCTGCCATTGGGGCAATGTTTGCATTTTATAGAATTCACATAGCCTGAGGTAATCAAAGATGACAGTTGAAAATCAACCACTTATAGTTGATGTTCCCATTAATACATTTTTTTTAATAACGGATTCTCCATTGCCAAATTTGATTACGACATATTACGACGGGATTTCCAACAAAATGATCCCCTCCACAAGTTCCTCCACGATCTCCCTGACAAAAATCCCCGTGTGACCATTTCCACTGTCAAAAACTGGTTGTTGGTTTCAACCCCTCTGAAAAATATGAAAGTCAGTTGGGATGCTGAAATTCCCAATATATGGAAATTCATCAAAAAAAATGTTCCAAACCACCAACCAGAAAACCGTATATTCCTTGGTTTATGTTCACCCCATTGACTAGTTCGATATAGAATTATGCATTATGTACCAATACCACCCTGGTGATCTCAGAGGACACCAACATGGAATCACCATGTTTTGGGTGAAAGATGAGGCCATTTTCCGACTAGTATGGTTTCCCTACCCATAGGATCCATGTATCCATGTATGGTAAATATGCTAACATTTGAATATATATATATATATATATTGATGGTAAATGTTACCATATATAGCATACATGGATCCTATGGGCTATGGTTTTCCCGATGGGTTTTCCTGGGTACTATGGCGAACCGTTCACGTTTTCGTAACGGCACTGGAACCACTCTGGGTCTCCCCGGCCCGAGCAGACAGGTGGCAGCTTGCAGCTGATTGACCTGAGATTCGGCGAAGAGATCAGGTTCATTCAAGAACTATATATATATATATGTAAATAAATGACTATAATGGTGATAAATAGGTATATAACTATAAACTATGATAACTATATGATATGGATTTATTATGGATAATTCAAATTATTCTATATCTCAAGCTATTGGGGATCCCCCATTTATGGAATACCTCCATTTCTGGAAAACCACCATTTACTGGGGGGTAAGATAAACATATCAGAAACTAATAAACAGTCAAAAAGAAGCGATAGGTATATATCAATAAACTATTATAATAGTGATAGATAGGTATATATCTAACTATAAACCAACAAACCATAAACCAACAGAACCCTAGTAACTTGGTATATAGTTATAGAATGGGCTAGCGCCCGGGTGCCGCCGACCCCCCCTATTTGGGGGGTCCTGCAGAGAGAGGGAGAGAGATAGATAGATGGATGGATGGATGGATGGATGGATAGATAGGTAGAGAGATAGAGAGAGAGAGAGATAGACAGATAGATAGATAGACAGTTGGATAGACAGATAAGTGGATGGAGAGATAGATGGATAGATAGCTGGATGGATAGATAGATAGATGGATAGATAGATAGAGAGGGAGAGATAGATAGAGGGGGAGAGAAAGATAGAGAGATAGATAGATAGAGAGGGAGAGATAGATACTCCGACGGCATCCGACGGCATCAGCGGTTCAGTGGGTCAGTGGCGCGTCGCTTCCGGCGGGCCGGGCTGAGGTCGATGGTGGTACATGGTGGGACAGACATGGACATATATGTTTTGATATGCCCCAACATGCCGCAATTCAATTTGCCACACAATGTGCAATGTGTATGCAATGAGTATGACGCTACAAATTTGAAGTCAGACCTCAGTTCATATTTTTAAGCATATTTGGCCTCCTATCATTGTATGATTGGTGGTAGAGTATCATTGATTTTGAAACTCAGGGATAATCAAGGGTACTGATCTCCGGAAGCTGCTGAGCTTGCCGCGCCAGGGCCACGAGTTGTGGCGCCTCATCATCGCCTTTTGCGGGCTGGCAAACGGCAGGCTTGAACCACCATAAAAGGACAATGCCGGGGCTGGCAAACGGCATGGGAGCTGCAGGGAAGCATTTGGGGGTTTTGCGGGCTGGCAAACGGCAGGCTTGAACCACCATAAAAGGACAATGCCGGGGCTGGCAAACGGCATGGGAGCTGCAGGGAGGCATTTGGGGGGTTTTGCGGGCGGGCAAACGGCAGGCTTGAACCACCATAAAAGGACAATGCCGGGGCTGGCAAACGGCATGGGAGCTGCAGGGAAGCATTTGGGGGGTTTTGCTGGCTGGCAAACGGCAGGCTTGAACCACCATAAAAGGACAATGCCGGGGCTGGCAAACGGCATGGGAGCTGCAGGGAAGCATTTGGGGGGTTTAGGCTTGAACCACCATAAAAGGACAATGCCGGAGCTGGCAAACGGCATGGGAGCTGCAGGGAAGCATTTGGGGGGTTTTGCGGGCTGGCAAACGGCAGGCTTGAACTCCCTGAAAAACAGATGGCAGGGGCATGTAGCTGTAAGAGTTGTTGCCTTGGAGGCCTGCGGAAGTTTGGAGGGTTTCAGGCCGGTCAAACGGCAGTCTTGAACTCCCTGAAAAACAGATGGCAGGGGCATGTAGCTGTAAGAGTTGTTGCCTTGGAGGCCTGCGGAAGCGTTTGGAAGGTTTCAGGCCGGTCAAACGGCAGTCTTGAACTCCCTGAAAAGGGCATGTAGCTGTAAGAGTTGTTGCCTTGGAGGCCTGCGGAAGCGTTTGGGGGGTTTGAGGCCGGGCAAACGGCAGTCTTGAACCCCCTGAAAAACAGATGGCAGGGGCATGTAGGTGTAAGAGTTCGGCAGGAGCATGTAGATGGCTGGGGCATGTAGCTGGCAGAGGTGTTGTCTTGATGGCGTGTGCCTTTGCTTGCGACCCGAGAGCCAAGTTCCACACCTCCGGTGGTCCCAGGCGCCGCCCCTGCCTTGGCAAAGGCCGGGGTCGGCGGATATGGATATGATATAGGTACATATATGGTACATGAAACTATCCCACATTATTTCAGGAGATTTCAGTTTAAATGACAAGATGTGCCAGTTTTTTGGCCACGAATGGTCTGATTTGGACAGCCAACATGTGGATTCAACGAGGAACAAATGGGAGTTGGTCAGCCAACAACCAACATGGGCTTTGAAGCCAAACAGCTGGATTCGATCGTGAAGAAATGGGATGCTCAACAAACAAGAACACGGAATTCACCAACAAATCGCATCATTCAATAGGAATGAATGACCAACCTATGGTTTCTATGCATTTTTTGACCGTTGCCTTGAGACCTGTTGTCACCGGAGGCTGCATTTCTGCAGCTTAAACGGCTTAGCAGAACCATGCGGATTTGATGAGATTTGGCATCCGATGGGGATGTATATAATGGGATATCACCAACATTTATGGGTAATCACCAGGAACACCACCAGGAAACTGAACCAAAGCACATTGAACGTGGCTAGCAGTGGCAGTTCCATGATCCGGATATTTTTCTGGGGTTCCTGTGGCACTGAACGCACCGAAAAAGGGTTGAATTGGTTGAATGCTACCGTTCCGCCTTTGTCTTTGGTTCATCATGTCGACTGCTGCAGGCGGGATTCTGAACATGTAAAAGAGAAGCCATTGCTGCGGCCGGAAGGTGCCCTTGAGCCATTGCTGTGGCCTTGTGGTGGCTTTTGCGTGCGGGAGTGGCGCGTGTTGGGCTTGTTGGGGTACCTTGTCCCTGCGGAGCTATGCGAACTTTTGGAGCGTTTGGCGGGTTTTGGAGGGTTTGAGGCCTGGCAAACGGCAGCCTTGAACGCCTATA